GGAGGCATCAAGTCCTAGATTCTTCTCGATTCACCCAGGGCTAGGGATGGGGGAGGGGAGGCCTGCCGAAAAGTTGAACAGGTGTGTGCCATGGAGAGCATGGGGCTCTCCCTGCTACTCCTCAACCCTTTGCCATTGTTCAGCTACTCCCGTGTTACCTGCTGGAGAAAACCTTTTATTACCCGTCTCTCTCTTCCCAGGTAAAATTTCTCCTCCTCTTCCCTGGTGTCCCAACAATACCCTGTTAGAGCTTTTAACCCTTGTGTCCCATTGACGCTGTGTTCCACTTTCCTAGATTAAGGCAGGCTCCCTCCATTCAGCAGGAAGCTTTAGGTGGCAACTGTCTTACTACAGACTGTGCTTAATAAAGTGTTTGGGTGCTGGAGGTGCTAAGTAAATATTTGTTGAGTGTTGAAATAACTTTGAAGAGATTCTGTTGGCAGAGCCCTTCCGATTTCCACCTGACTTAAAAAGAATGCCAAGAGTATACGTACAAAGGAATATTATTCAGCCTCAAACAAGAAGGAAATCCTACCCATATGTGATGAGCCTGAAGTTGCAGGACATTTTACTAAGTGAAATAAACTAGTCACGGTAGGACGGATGCCGCGTGATTCAACTTACATGAGGTATCTGAAAATAAGCAGACCCATGGGACCCATAGGAACAGAGAGTGGAGTGGCGGTTGCCAGGGTCTGGGCAGGAGGCAAATGGGGAGTTGCTGTTCAGTAGGTTTAAAGTTGTTATTATGTGCAATGGATAAATTCTAGAGATCTGTGCAACATTGTGTCTACTAAGGTAATAATACTGTATCATGTACTGAAACATTTGAGGTTAAGGCTCCTTAAAATAAATTTAAAAAAATATATATATAGCAGCTATCAACCTCTATCCCCTGCCCCTCCAAAAAACCCACCTGAATGATGTCGTGCGTCATGCCATACTGCAGTCACAAAGGAAATGTCTGCAGTGAAATCACGTGAGCACCCATGTTGGGAGTTCTACCTGATCTGATTCATGGTGCAGACTCTTGTGAGTGGGTCCATCATTTGCTTGAGGCTCAAGCTGGCCTCTTGTCTGTGATTCAGATCCCTGTGCAAAAATAGACCTTTAAATGGACGGAAAGCAGTTAACAGAGACCCATCAGTGTCTGGGTGTCTGTGCATCTGGCGGAGATAGGAAAGCATGAGGACGAGGGCTGGCGAGGGGTCAGTGCTGTTGAACGCTGTGCATGACAGGTGCACTTCCTGGAGCAGATGGCCTTCGTCTACGGAATCCTCCGTGATCCCCAACTCTCTCAAGTTGACTGGCTCTTTGAATCTGGTGCCGATTCCATATTCAGCCATGCTCTTCTAGGGGAACGGTCTCCTGAAATGTAGTGTCTTTTTGGAGCGGGTGAGGTGTGGGTTAGGATTCTCGCTGTGCACCCTGGGGCTAATGATGACAGTTAGGATTGGCTGTGGTTCATAGACTGGGTACAGCAACGGTGGCTGGCCTGTTGGCCCATATTGGGGCGGGGGGTGGAGAGGCAGGTATTTCTAGCACACCTTGCAGAAGTTCACAGGTGCGAGGACAGAAATCAGTGCTTAGCACTTTGCCTCTTGGAAACATCTCATCATTTGGAAAGGAATTTTCATTTTTAAAATAAAAAACAAAAAACAAAAACCAAAATTGGCCTTTCTCTGGTGCTTTTTCTGAATACTGGCGAGCCTGTCCTAACATTGGAGGGATAATGACTTTGAGCTGGGTGGGATATTTTTATTCTACTCAGTGGAAAGTAAATATTTGCCTTCACTTTCTCAGAACCCTGTGTCACTGGGAAAGCAGCTGAAGAACCCGCTGGTAAGAACAAAGGGCCAGGCCTCTCTTTGCCTGCAAATCTGGTTTTCTGGCAGAGCTCCCTATTGAAGTGTGCATGGCCTCCTCTCAGTACTGGACCAGGGGACGGGAGAGCATCTCGCCGTTCCCTGACCCTCCCTCTGCGAGACAGCACGCAGCCCCAACTTCTGCTGCTTGAGAGGATGAGGCTCTGCTGAAAGCTCATAATTTTCTTCTCCAACGTGACAACGAGGCAAAAGACAATAGCCAGTTGCCTCGTATAACCCACCTGCTTTGTAGGAAATGAAGCGAACTCAGGAGCCCCCAGTGCCACTTGGAGGATTTGTCGTTTCCTTTCCTGTCGGTAAACAAAGGCAGTCCGTTACAAGAGTGCGGCAAGGATTGTTTACAGGATGTTTGCTGTATCAAAGGAAGGAAAAGTGCCTTTTACAGAGCTGTGCTCATTGTGTGGGGGATATTACAACATCGTTTAAAGGGTACTCTGCTGGCAAAGAGAAATTAACCACAAAATATTCCGTCATGAAACACCAACTGTTTAATCAATCAGTAGGACTTACTTCGTAAATTGAAGTTGAGGGTCTTATAATGTATCAGCAGTAAAAAAAAGGTAGAAAGCCAGAAAACCTCTTGAGAGACAAAATAATAGGTTCCTAAAACTTTGGAAAAATATCAATACTTTAGAGGACTCAATTTTTTCTTTTTTTAAATTGTACGGGTTCATGCTTTGTGTGCAAGAAACAGTTATCATTTATAGTGTGGCTGTGTCTCCCATGTAGGCCTTTCCGGGTGGCTCTTCAGGACATCCAGTACTGTGTCTGGGTGCCTGGTGTCCCGGCTCTGTCCGGACACTCTTTTTCAAGCCGTTCCTAGCACAGAAAGGAGCTGGTAACTGAGGGTGCCATGAACATGACCGAGGGAATGAATGCTTGGTTGGACTCAATAAACTGGTGACGATTGAAACAATGACACAAGATGCCCAGTCACATAACATACTCTCCTTCTAATTGATGCTGGGAAATCTTTTGATATATACTTGGGTGTCATGTGTGTGTCTGCGTGTTAGCTGCACGTAATTTTTAAGTGTTCATTTTAGTGGCATTAGGTGTAGGCATCCTGTTGTCCAGTCATCTGTCTCTCGAGATTTTTCATCTTCCCAAACTGAGATTTTGTACTCATTAATCACTGACTCCCCACTCCCCTTGCCCCCGTCGCTGGCAACTGTCACTCTCCTTCCTGTCTCTACGAAGTGGATCATTGTGGGTGCTTCACGGAAGTGGGATCCCGTAGTGTTTGTCTTTCAGTGACTGGTTTATTTCACTAAGCATCATGCCTTCAGGGTTCATCCATGTTGTAAGCTGTGTTGTAATTCCCTAACTTTTAAAGCCGAGTGATATTCCGTTGTGTAGATTCACGACATTGTGTTTATCCATCCATTGGTTGATGGACACGGGTTGCTTCCACCTTCTACTATTGTGAATAAGGCTACTATGAAGGTGGGTGTACAGATATCTTTTCAAAACCCTGCTTTTGGGGTGCCTGGGTGGCTCAGTACGTTAAGCGTCTGCCTTTGGCCCAGGTCATGATCCTGGGGTCCTGAGATAGAGCCCTGCATCAGGCTCCCCACTCAGTGGGGAGTCTGCTCTCCTTCTCCCTCTGCCTGCTGCTCCCCCAGCTTGGGCTGGCTCGCTCTCTCTCGCTCTCTCTCTCTCTCTCTCTCTTAAATAAATAAATAAATACATCTTCAAAACTCTGCTTTCAATTCCTTTGGATATATACCCAGAAGTGGCATTACTAGATCGTATGGTAATTCTATGTTTAAGTTTTTTAAGGGATTCTCCATACTATTCTTAAATTTTTAAGCTTGAAATTGGCTATATGGCTCCCTTAGGTCAGTGAGAATTTCCTTCCCCTCCCTTGCCAGTGTACATGATCTTAAGTTCATTTACAGTTGAGGGACTCATAAGAGTAACGTTTCATCAACTCTTCAATGGTTCATAAAAATGGAGACGGACTGGGAAAGGTGGGCTTTCTAAAGCCAAGGCCAGTTGTCGCCTTGCTGGTAGGTGGCCCTGTAACTGATCAGTGCTCAGTGTGAGAGGGCACTGTTAACACGGTGCCGGGACCAGAGGCACAGACCCTGCTGTCCCAGCACACCCCACTCACTGGGGTCTGGGGAGCAGAGTGCAGGACCTGACAGGATTCAGAGAAGCCGCGTTGATGCCATTTCATCCGGGCATCTCACGCTCTTGATGTCAGGAGGGAGTGTGGGCCATAGCGCGCCTGGCTCTGGTTCGGTTTGTGGAAATTCTCATATTTATGGTTTTTAGAAATGATGTAGCAAAAGATCGTATTTGGGGAGCCAAGCCGACTTGATTTCACACCCCATCGTGTGTGATTCACTTTGGGCAAACGGTCAATGCACAGAGTACCAGTCTCCTCATCCGGGAAGCAAAAAAGGCTGATTTTGTTTCTAAGGGATTGTGGGTTTGGAAATCACATGGAAAGTAGCTAGCGGAGCGCCTAGTATTTAGTGCCGCATACCCAGTATTGTCTGCTCCGTTATGAAAAGCAGAGGCCGCTTAACTGAAGTTAGTACCAAAAACAGACACCTAGATTATCAGTTGTCACAACTATGGTCTTAGACCCTCCCCCTTGACATCTGCAAAACTTATGGAGGATCCCAGAGAACTTTATATTATGTTGCTTATCTCTACTGATGTTTATGATACTAGCATTAAAACTGAAGAGTTTAGAAATAATTACTAATTAATTAAAAATGACAGTAAGTCCTTTGCCTTTTATTAGAAACAACATTTTTTATGAAAATCACTCTTTTCTCAAACAACGACAAGAAATTAATGAGCAGAATGGCATTGTTTTACAATTTTGCAAATCTCTGCGGTATCTGCCTTCAGAGAATATGGCTAGGTTTTCAAGCCTTCTGCACCGTGACGTGTTATTTAACCTCTAGAAGGCTCCACCGGGTCCTGGTGAGAGGAGCGTGGAGAAGAGAAGTGATGTGTTTTGCTCTGAGAGTGGTTTGACCCTGGAAGCCCCTGGAGGGGCCTTGGGAACCCCTGGGTGCCTCAGACCACACTTTAAAAATGGCTGACCTAGAGTTTTTCTGTGAGTCTGAACTGGGTCTCTTTCTTCTCTTGTAGGTTCTTGCTCCTGGTCGAGTGAGCTGGAGCCTCCCTTTCTCCCTGCTGAGGTGAGCCCACCCCCCATCTGTACCCCAAACCACTGCTTAGGGTTTTAAGTTTGGGCTTCTGTGCCCCATGAACGCTATTCTTGTTTTTGTTTTTGTTTTTTAATTGTTTCTGTTCCCCTTGGCCTCGGGATCAAATGTTCTGATTTTTTCACCCTCCAGCACACACATACGTGAGTATTGCCTTAAGAAGCCCTTTAAACTTGGGGATTGTCGAAATGGGGTGCTTCAGAAGGAGTGACTGGCAGGCTTCAACGAGCATCCCATAATGTGTTTGAAAGGCTGTGGATCTTAAAGTTGGTTTGTATCTCTCTGCATGGAGTGTCCCTTAGATTCCGGGACAAAGTGGGAGCACAGTGGGGGACGCAGGCCTGCACGCAGGTTGTGGTCCTGGTGGTGGGTAAGCGCTGCACTGAGGGACCTTTAGGAGGAAGGTGATGGAGATGGGGTAGAGGATGGCCAGGGCTCCCCGAATGGGGCCCAACCGTCTTCCTGGGGCCTTTGCGTCACGGGGGACACCTACCTCCCATGTAAAGGCAGACAGAGCTCACTGCTCCCCTCCTTGTGTGTGTTCACAAGTGTTGTATTTTCTGTAATAGCATGAAATCGGATGGGTTTGTGAGGAGCTGTCAGGAGTAACCATGCCCACGCACGTCTGGTCTCTGGTGCTTAGCCATCCCCGTTCTTCAATGTGTATTTCCTAAAAATAGAGCTGTTCACTTAGTTAATGATGTTGACTAGCTAGTGAGGAGCCCAGGAGAACTTTGCATGGATGCATTACTTACACCCCATCTCTTCTTGGTCTTCCATCATTGCCAGCTGGCCCAAGGTGTCATCTAGAGTGCTATTCCCTCCCTCTGGGGTCCACTGTGGGGTCAAGTCCCGCACTTAGTGGTCAGGTCTATGGATTGTCTTTGTTCCCACAGCCTCTGTCGCTCTGTGTGTTGGTGCATTTTGAAGTCTGTGGCCTGAGAGCCTGCACTTCCAGATGTTACGTGGACGAGCATGTTAACGGTGGCAGGGTGCCGCTGGAGGAGGGAGAAGACACCCGCCATGGGTTTTCTCCGTACCAGGTAGAAACTCCGCAAACACACGTGGGTGGTGAGACGTCGAAACTACTCGCGGGGGAGAGGAGAAGGGGAAGGAAGGCGACAGTAGCAGGGGATCAACCTGAAAAGACCACGTTCCTTCTTGTGCGGGATCTCGCTGCAGCTTGAGTTTTTCTAACACGGAAATAAAGAGCGGTGCCATTAACCTGTCAACACGGAGAAAGGGAAGTATTACGTGAGTTGGTTTAAAGGAAAGACTCCCTCACCCCGCTCAGCTGTGCTTGTCCCTCCTTGGTCCCTGCTGCTGCCCGGTGAGGAGTTGCTCTGTAACCGTCCTTGGCCCCTGAGGGGCCCAGGCTGCCTGGACATGGCTCTGCCCTGCTTTTGTCCCTTACTGAGCTTGCCAGCACCGTGAGACCGGGCTCCAGCCAGGAATGAATGCTCCCTGGGGGGTCGTGACCAGGTGTGTACAGCAGCTGGCCCGGAGGGTCCCGTCTCCACACTATTGTCTTCGTGGCTAATTTTGATGAGCGACGTTATATTGGTTTTCTACACTATGAGACCGTTATAGACATTTGTGATGCAGGCTCGCCATTTCCAGCGTACTGCATTTTGACGCAAGTTGCATTCTTTAGTTTTAAAATGTGTAGGTGTGTTCGGTTTCCAAAAACACAGAAATAAATACACTAGAGCTTAAATCCCCCCCCTATATTCTCACTCCCCGAAGGCACCCACTGCTGGTAGACCTTCTTTTAAATCTGCGTGCACACGCAAAACAAAACAGAGGTGGGATTATTCAATTCATACTGCTTTTCCAGTTGCTTTTTTTCTTACCAATACATTGTAGCTGTCTTTTTTTTTTTTTTTTTTAAAAGATTTTATTTATTTGACAGAGAGCGATCACAAGTAGTCAGAGAGGCACGCAGAGAGAGAGAGACAGAGAGAGAGGAGGAAGCAGGCTCCCTGCCTAGCAGAGAGCCCGATGCGGGACTCGATCCCAGGACTCTGAGATCATGACCTGAGCTGAAGACAGAGGCCCAACCCACTGAGGCACCCAGGCAGCCCTGTAGCTGTCTTTTTGTTGTCAATATTTAGGTAGTTCCTACATACTCTTTTTAATGATGAGTTGGCTTTCATGTGTAGCGGTACTCTAATTTCCCTAAACTTTGTGGAAGGACATTTAGGTGCTTGTCAGTGCGTGGCTCTTACTAACAAAATGCTCGTGTGTATATAGATATATTAAAGTTGTGTAAGTGTGTATATGTAGTGTAATATATGTAATATACTCTCTATATTAGATATATAATACACACAAAATAAAATAAAATAATGAAATAAAAGATAAATATAAGTATATATGTCATAGTTGTATTTCTTTAGGATACATTCCTAGGAGTGGAACTCCTGGATGGAAGAGGCTCACGCTTAAACTTTCGGCAGATGCTGTTCGACTGACCTTCAGAGGGGTTGTGCCCTTTAGGATTCCATCCCTGACTCCGCAGTGAGATTCTAGCCAGCACCAGCTGTGAATAAGCTCGGTATTTTTGTTTCCGATTCTTAATGGAAAAACTCTCTCATTGTTTCACTATTTATGTTCTTTTTTAAGAGAAACATTAATCCTGAAGTTAGGCACCTTTATTGGCTACTTGTCAGGTTTTTTTGGAAACTTCTTTACTCTGCATATTCATCCTTGGTGATATGACACAATATTTTTGCAAATTCTTAGTTACTATCTTTTTTTTTTTTTTTCCTTTAACCGTTTGAGTTGCTTATGGTGTGAATGCGGACGAACTCTTTAAGAGCGTAGCATGGAATAAGGCTAGTCTTTTTTCCGAGTGGAAAACCCGTTTCAGATGCTGGCGTGACACGGGTTATGATTACAGGCCAGGCCATCGTGGCTCCGTGTGTTGTTTTAAGGTATGAGTGAAGTTCATTTGCTTTGGTTCTTCTCTTTTCTCTTGTGTGAGGACCGTTGTTCTCGCATACACTTATATGTAAGGCGCACACTGCTTGAAATCTATACATTCTGTCACAGCATCAGAACGGAAGAGATGTTCCACCGGTTCAATGGCTGACTTGTTGCATAATCGTAGAGGGTGGCTTCACCAGTTGGCCTCCCCATTTTCCCATTGATGAAATCAGGACTCACTTAGCCTTCATGGGGGCTTAGCAGCCTGTTTATCAGAGGATCAGGAGACTTGTTCAGTGGGAGAAATCAATTATTATCATTAGAGGATTAGTTAGAAAAATTTGGGCTGAGCTCCAAATTCTAGTCCTTACAAAGACGAATAGGATTTTGCAGGATAGCTGGTACCCTTCTGGTCTCCTCATGTATCTTTCAGCCTTCAGATTTCTGATAGGAATTAACTCCTTAGGCATCTTCTTATTAGAAAGGAATATCTTGTTCCTCCCCTCCGCTCTCAGCTTTACCTTCATCCTTGCACCTTCTTGGAATTGAAATAAGTATTGGCCGGGGGTAGTAGGCTTCCTTTTGATCCTGTCCTTTTTTCTTTTTGGCCAACTTTGTAAGGCCAGGGAGGTTCTGAGGCTCTAGCGGACCCCAGGAGGGGCTTCAGTTTCTCTCCATTGACGCAGAGTGTACTTAGGTAAATGTCTCAGTGTCCTGCCCAGGTTTCTGCAGAAATATCGTACTCACTTGGATGTCTCTACTTAGGGGAACAGCATCGGGGTGGAAGCCATCTGCTGGCTTCCCGTAAGCAGTGTGCCAGCTGTCCCCAGGATCTGGATGTCAAGACGACGTCTGAACTGTGATGGTGCGAGATCCTTTACTCAGGCTCTTGGACATTGGGAAATGCACTGGCTTATATGCAGAATGTTTGGGTGATCTCACACCTTGTCATGAATTTCATTTTTCATTGCTCATACTCATGGTGTAATATAGACCTGTTCCAGATTATCTTTTAAAACGTTCCATTTCTTATCCCACTATCAGCCAGGTTAAAAAGGGTTAGCCACCTCAGGGAAAGGATTTTAAAATCTGAAGGCCTCAAGAGAGGGAGGCCATGGGCTCTCCCATTCCGTGCATCCTGGAGATGATTTAGTTCATTGAACATTTATTGGGTAATTTCTGTTGGTGGAGCACTCTGTTAGGAGCCAAGGGAAACAAGATGATTAAAATGGGGTCCTTCCCTTTGAGAGTTTATAATCTAACAGGGAAGAAAGAAGCATGTACAAATAGCTCTCGTAAGAGGTTTGATTGCTGTAATCATCAAATAGAAGGGAAATGCCAGTGAGCTGAGTCGACCATGGATCTCTGCGCCCACCAGGTAGTCTGGCCTGTCATAGGCACTAAATACACGTTTGAATTCATGAGTGGATACATTTAGACACATACATTTTGGTGTGCTTTATAGCAGAAAAGAGGTGTAGAAACAGATGATTGGATGGATTTGTGTATGATCGCATAGGGTATGCGAATTTGGTGAGGTCATCAAGGGCATAGGGTAGGCTGAGCAAGACCCCTCGTGGACCCATCCTTCCTCCTACACTGGGGGCAGCTGGGGGCAGTCCTGCTGGTTGCTTCTCCTCCAAAGGCTGGGAGGACTCTTCCTGAGCCCACCCCTTGAACAAAATGGGGTTTGGTCCTTCATGTGAAAGATCTATTGCTCTGGTTTCTTGTGGACTGATTCATGCCAGTCAGTTAAAACTGCTTTGTACTTGGATTCCCTGCCTCCCTCCCTCCTCTCCCTCCCTTCCTTCCTTCCTTCCTTCCTTCCTTCCTTCCTTCCTTCTTTTCCTTTTTTTTGGGGGGGGCAGTCATTAGTCATTTCAATTTTTTTTTTTATAAACCTTTCATTTATTACGTTAGGGATTTTTTTCTTAATTCACAGCGTAAGATGCACTTTTCTTGATAACCAGAGATTTCTTTGCCTTCTCTTTTTCCAATTCCTTTTCTTACCGTTAGGTTCTCTCTAGTCAAGTAAATGACAATGT